ACTGATCTTTCCTCACAAAATCCTCTGGTTTTTAATCAACTTTTCCTCTACCAGCGGTTTTTCATCAGCTCTCTCTCATTAGAAAACAGTGTGAAAACATTAGCTGCTACGCTAACAATCAGTGGTTACTTCGGGCCAACTTAAGCTACATAGGAAATATTTTTCGGTTGTTTAGAAGCGAATTTCTGGCTGCAAAGTCAAGTAATTCTGATCTTTCATCCTTACCTGTGAAAGGTAATGACAATGAATCCAGTTTGTTTCGTAAAACAGTTGAAACAAGTCCACACAGCACAGGACTTAAGGAGCTCCGATCGCCCTGCTGCCACATAGAAGATGGCGGACGCTGTTACGTAGGACTCAGCGCTCCATGAGGGGTCTACGGTTGGCAGAACACTTAGAACGCTGACGCTATTGCGCCCTCTACTGCGCATGCGGGACACTTTCAGGTCGTTTGCCTGTTCACACTGCAGAACACATACAGGTTGCATATATTTGGAAGTGTGAACGGCCACAGCAAAAAAATCTGAATTGGGTTACTTCAGGCTGCAGTGTGAACACATAATAAGTTGTAGAGTGTTTTCAATGCAAATAAATATTAAAACTGTTGAATAAACTTTGCAAAGTTAATTCCAAGCTGTTTAAAACATAAACTTTTGTGTTCCAGGTGACCAGGATGGATGGAACAGTGGAGTTGTGTCCCTGTCTTAAGGTCACCCAGAGGTCATTTGGTTCCCAGAACAGTTACAATGACATCACTTTCTACAGGCTGAGCATGCCTATAGAGTGCGCTGAATCCAGATCCCCATCTTATGACAGCCTGTTCTCACCGAAGAGGGTAACAGATACGACCATTAGATCTCCCATGCCTTCCACCAATCAAGACCTGTTGCCATTATGACTCATCATAGTTTTTCTACATCATCATTGATCATCAACTAACAATGTTTTGCTTAACGTGTAAATTTGCCTTATGCATTAGCTTCTTTTTTGCAAAATTCCCAACTCTGATAAAGGAACACATCATGTATTTAGCTTAAACGGATCTTTGAAGAACTATTGGCATTGGACATTTCACCTCACCATCAATAGACAATATCTCTATTATTCCTGCAAACTGGTTCGACATCTAATTTCAACCACTTTCAGTCTTACTGCCTAAACTTGACATTTACTCAGTTCCTCTATTATCTCACTGTTAGGATGGACTGCTGGCTGCTCCCAGCCCTGATGTGTTCTGTTGTCTCTCTGTCTCTCTCTGTAGGAGCTGGAGGATTTTGAAACTGTGTCAGACTTTGAAGTCTTGTTGAAGTCATCTCATGGTCCCAATGGTCCCAGTGGACATGACAGAGATGAATTCAACAACCACAAAGACTACACCCAGGAGAAGCCCTCCAAGCTAAAGCAACGGTAGCCTGCCTTGTCTTCAAATGTTATTCTTCAGATGATTAAAATTTTATCATTTTAATTGGACTCATTTTTGGGAATATAACTTTTTTCCTGTCTTTGTGTGAGTAATGAAATGGAAACTGAAGCCAGTGATGTGATTTGTCAGGTTCACGCTGAAGAAAAACAAGCCAGACAACAGCTGTCCATCATCTGCTCGCCTGTCAGAGGAAGTGGCGGTCGAAGACAGAGAGGGCTATGAAGTCCTAATGCAAGCTTCTACAGTAAGACAACCAGACCTGTTTCTTCCTATCAGCAATAGCCTTGCCGATCGATCGGCCACCGATCATAATCGGCCGATTTCCGAGAAAAAGTGTATGATCGGTGATCGCCGATCACGGTCTCTTGTTGCTGATCACACATACCGATCACCTGCATCTCATTTCCAGCCTGCCTGTGCAGCTGGTCTCCTCTTTCCTTCACTCTGCGCAAACGCGC